TAAACAACAAACTTTGGATTATTATGGTGTTAAATTTGATGATGTTAAAAGAGAATATGTTTAAACTATTAAATAGTGCCCATAAGGCAGACTATTTATATTATCTAAGTAATATCTTTTATTATCAAATGAAGACAATGCTTGTTTAACCTGATTTATTGAATATATCTGATGGTTTTTACTTCTAATGCTGTTGAAACTAACACTATCACAACTGTTATTTTCAAGAGTGTCCTTGTATTTGTCAAAGTTAAGTTCCTTCTTCACTTTATGCTTTACAATACCTTTACTCTTCTTCTCTTCCTTTTCCTGACTATGTATTTTAAAGGTATACGACTTAGGTTTTAATCCTATAAAGTTGGTTATAATTTTTCCATCCACCTCGTCCTTAAATTTTCCAAGCACCTTCTTATTAGTAGCATCATAGCATTTATGGTCTTTATCATAACCGCTAAAGTCCATATATTTATTAATATCTTTAAAGTCGTTGTATATGTCTTCTGTTTTAGTGTGTATAACGAAACTATCAGTGTCAGTATATATTAACCTTACATCGTTATTATACTTCTTCTTTAACACATCATAATAGAAGCTATACATATGCAACTTAGATAAGTCTAAAATACTCATACCTACATAGATAGGCTTATTGAGTTTAACTGTTTCTTTTAACTTCTCCACTCCTACGAGGTTTTCATTAATGATGTGTCTGTGTTTATAAGTAGGTGAATTAACCACTTTTTGGAAGCGCTCGGGTGTATCAACTAATTCAAAGTTAATATGCTCTCTTACATTCTCCATCGTTTTTCCATACACCGCATTGTTCATTAATTTATACATATCCTTTTCAAAGTCGCTATTCGCCTTCTTTCTTTTTTCAGTGTTAAAATCAATCCAAGGTTTTAACCATTCTTTTTGTCTAAACTGGATTACTCTATTAATCTTCTTTAGTTTTAGTCCTTGTTTAAGATAATATCTTAAGAGTTTAATGTGCAATACATAATTCTCCTTGTGATTGACATTTAATATTAATTTGTTTGTTTTCTCGTCCTTCGGCGCTTGATTGAAATGATATGCTTTGTATACATCTTTTTGTGTATCACTTAACATATCAGCGGTGACATTCATAATTTCAGGGGCGAGTGGGTAGTCAATATGTTTATCGTGCAGTTCTTTCGGATACTCTAAATCAACATCTAAAATATAACCATAACCTAAAACGCTCCAAGTATCTATATGTTCTTCTGTAAAGTTGCCCTCAACGAATTTAATATCTTTATATGGTAGTTTCTGACACATCGCTAAGCCATAAAGATTATTAGCATCAAGATAGTTAATATATGACGACGGTTTATTATTATCATAATCGTCTTCCATATATTTATTATTTGCTTCTGCCATTCTGTGAGACACTTGGCACATTCCACCGCGAAGTCCTCGCTCAACCATTTTATAAAGGTCTTCGTCGTATATTAAATCTAACTGTATGCCTGTTTTTAATAGCATAGCGTCCCAAGCGAAATTAGGTAATGTATAATAATGTGCTGGGTCTAATTCATAATCTATTAAACATTGATTTCTAAAGTTCTCAAACACATCCGTTAATAATAAAACATCTGTTTTCAAATACAAGTCGTGATACTCACCGAGATTTTTTATTTTAAAGTGTTTCCAAATGTGCTTTGCTCTTTCATAGTCTTTATCGCTTATGTCTTCTTCACCTAATCTACTATAAAACTCCTTTTTATCGGGTAGTGTTGTTTCATTGAATTTCTTAAACTCATTCATATAGTCATACGGATAAACTCCTTTATCTGTCAGTAAATCTAAATCATAATCGTCTTTAACATAATTACTTATTTTACTATATTTAAAATGTTGTGTCCAGTTGTTTCGTTTAACATTATCTTCATATTTAGTTAATTTAACCAACTTATCTAACGATGAAGATAAGAAACTGAAACTGTCCTTAAATTCAAGTTGTTTAAGACAAAAGGTTATAAACTTCTCGCTGTTTTGTGCTATTACGCTGACATCGTCTTTATCAGTATTTAACTTATCAAGATGAGATATAACTAAATGAGCATCATAGTTTTTAAGATTATGAAAAAATATAGGTATTTTAAAGTGTTTGAAACAATAATCTAAATTACATTTATGATGTGCCGCGCCTTTGTATTTACCTGTAAAATGGCAGTGGTCGCGCACCTTGGTTTTACCAAGGTTCGCCTTGCTCGTCTCTGGCGAAGCATCTTTAACTTTAGTTTTTGCTTTAACATTTGGATTAAAAGCACCGTTGCAAATAAAACAACGCTTCGCTGTTAAATGTTTCCCTTCCTCTTCGTGTGTTAATTTTTCCATATCTTTAGGGTTATTCATTACATCAAATATTTCCTCTCTTATCTCGTTCATAGTTTTACAAAATACCTCCATACAATCTTCACCTCTGTATAAATATGGTTTAGCTTCACCTGAAATAGAATTAACAACATTAAGCATAAAACCTGATGGAATATGATTTTGATACGACCCTTTTAATCCTTCGTTAGATAAGGTGGTTAAACATTCAAAATCTCCATAAATAACATACGGACACTTTAATTTCTTGTAGTGCTTTTGAAAGCTCATTTTTTCTTTCTCTTCTGGCATCTCTATCGCTTGAACCTCATTAGCCATACATCCTTTTAACAAATGTGCTTGTAATAGTTTTTCTTGATTAAAACCCTTCTGACAATACTGACAATGAAACAGTTTATCTTTTTGCTTGTTCGTCTGACTTCCCATTAGTCGGTTGTAATCCTTAATTAATACATAGTGGTTATTATTCTCTTCATCAAGTCTTAACAAATTAATATGACATATTGGGTTCGTTATTTTTGTTATTTTATCTACTCTTATTTTATCTACATCTTTATCAATGGTATACACATTAACTGATATAGTATTATCATTAGCTTCTTCAAACTTATCTATGTCATCATTACACGCTGGGAACTCTACACCATCCCATTTTATGAAATTATCATTTTCTAAGTATTTTTTGTAATGATATAATCTATCAGGGTGGTCTTTTTTATATGTCTCATAAAACTTACACCATACACAGTATTTAAAACATAAATTATCATAATTTTTATATTAATACAAGCCTTTTTTAAAGCCACCCATCGCGGTAGTTCAATATATTGTCCTTCTCTTGTCGGGTCATATTTATCATAATGAATAGTGATTTTATTGACTTTTTTTATGCTTAAACCTGATTTTTGCAATTGTTTATTTTCAAGTATAATTTGAATATCATTTCCTGCATTATTAACTGCTTTGTTTAAGTCCTCTTCGTTTAATATATTATATCTTCTACTCCTAATTGAACTTAATATTTCTTCTGTTGTCTCATCTTCTTCTATAACCTGTCTTCAAACAAACTCAACAGGTATTAGCGTAAGCTTTTAAAGCACTAAAATTATCAGTTCTTTTACCTATCGTTGAAATAGCATATCTTGATAATGCCCTTCTTACTCTAACTCCTTTAACTGCTTTGTCTAATATCTCAAATCGTTTAAATGCTGGTCTTTTAAGAATGTCATTTAAATGTTCCTTTAATCGTCCTGTAAAAGGTTTATCTTTATCGTATTTAAATGTTAATCCATCTATTATAACTTGTTTTAATTCTTTTCCTTTTTTTGTCTTTTTTATTTCACCTGTTTTGCTATTTAATACATATCGCATTGCGGTTCTCAGGGCACCCTGCTCAGCCATTAGGGTATAAGGGGGCTTCCCTTTAAGTAGGTTTGGGGGCGCTCTGGGTGTAGCGAGGTTGTAGCGGGTGTAGCGGTGGTTGCTGGGGCTGGTGGCTTGGGTGGGCTGGTGGTCGGCGGTTGTGGCGACAGCCAATAAATAAAAATACTATAACCCTAAACACCTCCAAAAAAGGGGCATTGATTTTTAAGAAAACGAAAACAAAAGAATGTATAATGCCACTTTTTTAAAACATAGTCCTAATCTAAATAAACCACAACAACCCTTCTAAACCGAAAGGACTAAACCACAACAACCCTAAACGCCTAAACCGAAAGGACTAAACCACAACAACCCTCAAACTTAACAACCCTCAAACTATACGAACTAAACCCTAAACCCTAAACCCTGTTTCCTTCTGTGTCTCAATGATAGGAAGTGCCGACGTCATCAGCATTTTAGGGTTTAGGGGTATTAGGGCTTAAGGTCTAACCCTAAACTAAACCCTAAAGTAAAACCCTAAAACCCTAAACTAAACAACTAACACCCTAAACTAAACAACTAAAAACCCTAACCTAAACCCAAAGGGAGGGCGCGCCCGTGCTTCGTAGTTGAAGGCGTGAATGTCCTTGGTGAAGAGGTTGACCTGTCGTGTTTGTTGTAAAAAGTTTCTTTTATCATTAAAAACCATCTCGGGCGAGGGTTGGGGATTTATGATTTTTGGTTTTGAAGTCTATGTTATATTTTATTTTTGGGATTTTGGGATATTTTGTATGGGATTTGCCTATATTTTCAGGGTATTTATATTTTTTGGATATTTTTATGAATATGACTACTTGATATCTGTTATTTTTGGGTTTTAGGGGTTTAGGATGTAGGAAGGAAAGGATTTTGGGATTTGGTAATGCTTTTTTGTGGGATTTTGAGGGTATTTTGTGGTAGAGCACTTTTTTCGGATATACTGCTTGTTTGGGCGTTTAGGAGAGAAGCGTTGCAGTGATGGTCTTTTCAACTGTCCTCTGGGTGTCCCTCAGTTCTCCGCAAATGTCTTTCACCTCTATGAAGAGCGGATTTCACCATACCGAAAAGTGGTTTTCTCTTTTGGGAAAGGTGATTTTCTCCTTTGGGAAATGTGGTTTTCCCCTTTGGGAAAAGGTGGCTCATTATGATTAAGTTAGTAGGGATTTCAGTATGGCGAAAAGTGGATTTCACCTTTGGGAAAAGCGGATTTCCCCTTTGGGCAAAGTGCTTCGCTGGAACTCTCACATCAGGATGCAGTTGCCCTCATCCTCGGTGGTTGTAGTGGATGAAGATGCCCTGCTTCTGATAATGCTGGTCATCTTTGCAATCAAAGCCGTCCAAGCAATCGAACCGTTTGTTTCGGCGAACTGGCTGGAGATTGCGAAGCGGATGCCGAGAACCAAGGTGTCCTCTGTCAAGTTCTTCTGCTTGATGAGGTCTTCCGTTTTGTTGTGCAAGTCCTCAAGGAAGTTCTCCTTCACAAACCTGCACCTGTCCATCACTCTGGTTGAAGTGGTTAAGATGCTGGAAATCAATACCGTCAACTTCTCGTCGCTGACGTGCTCAAGCAACTCGGAAACCACTTCTTTCGGATTGTCCTTTGTCGCTTGGATAATGAACCTGACCTTCTCAATGGTCTCCTGAACAACTGGAGCGGGGTTGCTGATGTTCTCAAGGCGAAGGATGTTCTCATCAATGGCTTGTCGTAGTTGCTTTGTTGTCAACAAGGCATCGGCTTCTGACATCGTCTTCGTGCGCTTGCCTCCTCCTTTAAGCTTAGGAAGGACAAGGAGCCCCTCAGCGCCAAGGCTAGATATTGTCTCGTAGAGTGGCACTTCGGACTGAACACCAATGACCTTGACAATGGAGTTGTCAGGGTTGATTGCTTCGCCCAAGCTGTTCAACAAGTCCGCCGAGGTCGCTGAGGCATCGTGGTAGAAGAACAAGTCTTTCGTCTTATTCTGGCTGGGGATACGCACCAAGGTTCTCAAGTCGCCACTGCCGAGGCTCACAATTGGGATGTCCTGCGTCGCGTCCTTCTCGCTGTGCTCGTTGTCGCGAAGCTCGCGAGGCTCGTTCCTCGCGTCCTTCTCGCTGTGCTCACTGTCCTGCTCGCTGTGCTCGCTGTCCTGCTCGCTGTGCTCGCTGTCCTGCTCGTTGTTAGCGCGAAGAACGGCACGGGTCTGTTGAGCTTCACGCCAAGCAAGACAAAAATGGTCTGCCAGTTCCTCTCTCGTCTTTCTTGACAAACCATTCAAGCCGAAAAGATTGAACATCAGCTCCACCATCTCATCCTTCTTGAAGCGGAGGAAAAGGACATAGTCTTGAACTGTTGTCATCCACAATCAAGCCCTCTATGTTCTCACTGTTGAAGGGGACGCCGAGCCCCACTTCCAAGGCAACAAGGTCATTGTTGCCTCTCTGGTAGAAGACGAGCGACATTGTGGAAAGACTGTCGGCGAAAACGGAGGTCTTGAACTGTGGCTTTGGATAGGCTTGATTGAGGAACAAAGCAGGTCAATGCTTCAACACAAGCCCGTCGGAGCAAAGTTCCAAAAGGTCAGGTGCTTCAAAGAACACTGCAGTAATTCTTTCAACTCGCTTTCTTCAGTGCTGACCAAGTCAAGAAAGACCAAACAATCGCACTTAACCCCTTCAGGAATAGGATTGAAGGAAGGGGAACACCGATTGTTTTGAAAGGAAAGCAAACTCTCACTTATCATTCTTCTCGCCCTTCTTCTTCGGCATCGCCTTGGATTTAGCGCCCGAGGTAGAGGATGTGGATGAGGAACTGTTCGTGGCGACAATTGAAGAACCATTCACCAAACGCCAAGAGGAGGCTTCGCGACGATAGTTCTTCCCCATCTCCTCCTGTCCGAAGTAGTAGCTAAGCTCCTCCTTCAACTTCTGCTTCGTCAAGCCCATCTTGCCCTTGAGGACTTTTTGGTGTTGCTGAAGCCACTTCTCACGGATGCCCTTGATGGTGTCGGTGGGGGAGATGACAACCTTGAAGCTGATGCCTTCGTATGTAATCTCAATGGTGAATGAGTTGTCGCCCTCGTCATCGTCCTTGGTCTTCTTGACCGTGCCAAAGTTCATCTCCTTGAGCTTTTCCTTCACAATCTTCGCGCGAGTGCCCGACTGCATAAGGTCTTTGTTGATGTTGAGTAGCACCTTGTTTAGCTCGTCTCCGCTCATCTCTGCAATCTGCTGGAGGAAGGCGTCATCTACAAAATCCTCTGGGCGAAGGGTGCTCACCATTCTGAAGATGAAAAGCTTTGGGTCTCGCGAGTCTCGCTCCTCTTTGTTGATGAGTGGGTCATTTGCCCCCTCTTCGCTGATGATTGGGTCATTTGCCACCTCCTCCTCCTCCTCACTTTCCTCAGCCAAAGCCTTAGCGAGTTCCTCGTCGCTGGGATAGCCCGACATCGTGATGAAGGGACAACAAAAGACTTGAGGTTCAAACGCTGCTAAAGGAATGAAAGACGCATCGCTTGTTCAGCGACTTGTTTGAAAGATGCTCAGCACGACCTAAACCGAAAAAAATAACCAACCAAGTAATTTAAACTTGCCGGTTGCGCCTCGTTGAAGTTGATGTCGTCGGCGAGGATGCTGAAAACCTTTATTGAATAAGACTAAACCCTGAATATTTTAGGACACCCTGAAAGAAACCGAAAGAGGTGGCGATGCCCCAGAAAACGAATGAGATGATATTATGAATGTTAAAACGAAGGAGGGGGAGGTTTATGATAATGAAAAACGAGGGTGAAGAACTACTTAAATGAAAATAGGGATGAGAAACGAAGAAGGCGACGATGAGGATGATGAGGTAAAGGGGAGAACGAATGAGGGGGACAAAACAATGAAAACGAAAGAGGTGAAAATAATGATAGAAACGAAGCAGGGGGCAAGGTGAGAGAGCGAATAAGGGGGCAAATATCGTATGATACAATCCTCAGAACCCGCCCTGATACAAGCCCCAGCCCGAGCCTCAGACACCCCCTTTTACCAATTTTTTGGGGGAACCCTCAATTAGAAGCAACTTAGCAGAACAGGGCCCGGAGTCCCTAACCACCCAGCCCCCCCAACCCTCCAGAAATGAAGTCACCAACTTCGAACCCTAAACCTTGAACCCTAAACCCTCAACCCTCAACCCTCAACCCTCAACCCTCAACCCTCAACCCTAAACCCTAAACCCTAAACCCTAAACCCTAAACCCCAAACCCTAAACCCTAAACCCTATGCATCACATGTCCAAGCCCTAGATGTCCTTGAGACGCAAAACCCTAAATCCCCCAAAACCCGGAATAGGGATTTAGGGTTTAAGGGGTGTAGGGATCAAAGGAGTTAGGGTGTAGGGATTAAATCCCTAGACCCCTTACTCCCTAAACCCAGTATTCCTAAACCCTAAACCCCTTAAATCCGTAACACTTAGCACCCAGTATTCCTAAACCCTAAACCCTAAACCCTAAACCCTAAATCCCTATAAGCCCTGAGGTCTTGCAGCTGCAAGAGATCGCCATGCCCTTTGTGCGCCAAGTGTACAACTGCAAGACGCAGGGAGGCCCAGTGGAAGCCTTTTCCCCTGTTGTTCCAAGAGAGTTTAGTTAGGGTTCAGGGTTTAGGGTTCAGGGTTTAGGGTTTAGGGTTTAGGGTTTAGGGTTCAGGGTTCAGGGTTTAGGGTTCAGGGTTTAGGTTTAGGGGTTAGGGATTAGGGATTCTTGGAGTTTTGGGCACTATAATTTCACAAAAAAATAGTTGTTGCTACGGTTCCAAGTTCAGTATAGTTGTCTTCTGTTGTTCCAAGAGGCTAGTTAGGGCTCAGGGTTTTTCAGGTTTAGGATCTAGGTTTCAGGGTTTAGGGTTTAGGGTCCAGGGGTTAGGGTTTAGGGGTTTAGGGTTCAGGGGTTTCGGGTTTAGGGCTTTGGGTTTTCCTAGATGCTTGTCGTGTGATTCTCTTGTGTTGTGAGTTTGGGGTTCAGGGTTGAGAGTTTGTGGAGTTTCCGCATCATCAACAGCAGGCATGCCAACGGGCAGAGCGCGAACTACCTGGAACCTTAAACACGAATCCCTAAAATCCAAAACAATTGAACCTCAACAGGGTTTAGGGTTTAGGGTTTAGGGTTAGGGTTTAGGGTTTAGGGTTTAGGGTTTAGGGTTTAGGGTTTAGGGTTTAGGGTTTAGGGATTAGGGCATTTCCCAAAACGACCCGGCTCATCATTTTCCCCTCGAAATCCCAGAAATCCTTGTCTCAGCTTCGCTCTCCCCCTGTCAACCAAGCAGGGGTTCAGGGTTTGGGGTTTTGGGGGTTTTGGGGTTTTGGGTTTAGTGTTCAGGGTTTAGGGAAACCCTAAACCCTAACCCCAAACCCTAAACCCTAAACCCTAAAGAGTTCAGGGTTTGGAGTTCCGGGCTTTGGGTTTAGGATCCCCCGTACGGTAGCTCCGAGCTTCCAAGCACAGCCCTAAGCCCTAAACCCGAAACCCTAAGCCCCAAGCCCTAAGCCCTTAACCCTAAACCCTAAACCCTAAACCCTAAACCCTAAACCCTAAACCCTAAACCCTAAACCCTAAACCCTAAACCCTAAACCCTAAACCCTAAACCCTAAACCCTAAACCCTAAACCCCGAACCCGAAACCCTAAACCCTAAACCCTAAGCCCTAAACCCTGAACCCTAAACCCTAAACCCTAGACCCTAATTAAACCCTAAACCCTAAACCCTAAACCCTAAACCCTAAACCCTAAACCCTAAACCCTAAACCCTAAACCCTAAACCCTAAACCCTAAACCCTAAACCCTAAACCCTAAACCCTAAGCCCAGCCACCCCGCTCAGGTGCATCCCGTGTACATCCTTCGTCCGCAGGTACATGCAGCAAGAGCGAGTGACCCAAGAACAGCCCCACGCCTTTTTGGCTTAGGGTTAGGGTTTAGGGTTTAGGGTTTAGAGTTTAGGGTTTAGGGTTTAGGGTTTAGAGTATCGGGTTCAGGGTTTAGGGGGTTGGGGGTTAGAGCTTTTGACTTTTGAGGTCTGCGACTGGGGTGTAGAGCTTAGGCTTTCGTGTGTGGAATTTGGTTTCAGGGTTTGATGTTCAGGGTAAGGAGTTTGAGCTTCGAGCTTGAAACCCTAAACCCTAACTCCCAAACCCTAAACCCCAAACCCCAAACCCTTTTATAAACACTAAGCCCTAAACCTAAACTCGAAACTCGAAACCTAAACCCAAGACCCTTGGAAGGGTCGGATTCAGGGTTTACTCTACAGAGTTTGGGGAGCGTCGGTGCCAGGTACGCGTTCCGGCCCACTTCGACGTGACCGCCTATGCGCGCCCACACCCGCAACTAAACCCTAAACCCTAAACCCTAAACCCTGAACCCTGAACCCTGAACCCTAAACCCTAAACCCTAAACCCTAAACTAAGCCCGAAGCCCTAAACCCTAAGCGTTTAGGCTTTTGGGTTTTAAGGTAGGCTTCAGGACTTGGGGCTGAACTTTTAGGGCTAGGGTCCCAATTTCCTAAAGGTCTAGGGATCGAAGATCCCAAGCCCCCGGCCCTCTTTTGGATCTCGGTTTAGGGTTTTGGATTTAGGGTTTAGGGTTTAGGGTTTAGGGTTCAGGGTTTACGGTTTAGGGTTCAGGGTTCAGGGTTCAAGGTCTAGGGTTTAGGGTTTGCCGCCTATGCACCCACAGCAGAAAGGCCTTTTGGGCACGGATTGATGGGTTCCTGATTGAGGTCCGTTGGGGTCCATATATGGTCTAGCTTGCGTCTGCGGTCTGCGGTCTGCAGCTCGATGACTATTATACTAACAGGGGATGTCCTTGCGAAAATCAGACCAGACATGGAACATCATGAATCTCATGAAAAGGGTCACTATGTCTCATGAATCTTCATCTAGTTGCAGAATACCAAAGTACCCTAGGCAACCCCAGGCTCGAAACAAGAATCCCTTCTGAGCCCTCACACCCAACCTCCCAAACCCGCTTAAACAAGTATGTGGCCATGAACCCTAAACCCTATACCCCATACCCTATAAATTTGCAGGCCACGGTCATCGTGCCACTGACCCCCGCACTGCGCCTCTCCTGCAATGACAGGGTCCACGGGGGGGTTTAGGGTGTAGGGTTTAAGGTTTAGGGGTTTAGGGGGTTTGGGGGTTTATGATTTAAGTTTCAGGGTGTAGGGCAAGTTGGACGGTACATTGCCTGGGGCTTTGGATTTAGGGTTTCACTGAGTCCTCAACGCGCCCTAACACCCAACTAAACCCCAAAGTCCCAACCGCTCAGCCCTAAATCCTAAATCCTAAACCCTAAACACTTCTGGGACTCTGAATTTTGAGTAACCCAAACCCCCTAAATCCTCAACCCTAAACCCTCGTGGGACTCTGAATTTTGAGTAACCCCACACCCCAAAAGAAGAATCCAAACACCCCTAAGCCCAAAGCTTCAA